GGCGGGAGAGTGCAAACACTGCTGTGTCCTTTTCAAAGACTGAAATGATTTCATGTGGGCACCCTGATGGCCAAAGTTCTCCTCCTAAAAGAAAAAGCAGCTCTCAAAAGAAAGTTCTGTGAGCCCTGCTGATGAGTCACCTGTGGTGGAGCCATTTAACACAAGGCCAAGAGATGCCATCCTCTCCTTTTTGTTGGACAGATTTGACCACAAAGCTCTTCAGAGTCAACTCAGGTTATCAACAAAGTCTTTTCACAAGGTTTCTGCAGGGTCTCGAAACAGCAACTTAGGCAAGAACAGAGCAAAACAAGAAGTCTGTGCAAGAACTCAGGAAGCGCAAGAACAGAATCAGCAGCTTGTAATCGGCCACTCTCTAGGTGACCCGTGGCTTGCACTTTTTTGAGGCCAGAAACAGTCTCTTTGTGAAGGAGATAAAACTGTAAAACAAATGGCTTCCGGACCTCATTTTTCTGCTAGAAACTGAGCCTTTTTATTAAGGGTGGGAAAATGCGCGTTACTAGGGCCCTGGTAACTAAAAGCTACAAGAGCTCCCCCGTGTGTTGCCACAGTAGAGGAGAAGCTGTGCTGCACCTTCGTCTTCTAACGGCATGGGTGCAACTAGTGCCTATTGTATCCTTGTCCCCACTGCCCCCTGAAATCACTCGTGAGTGTCCATGGTTAGGAGGAGGTTTTGTTCAGCCACACTGATTAGCAGATACCTTCTTGATCAAGACCAAGGACTCCCACGTGCTCCGAGGCCTAGAAACAGGCGTGACATGTGGCCGGACTAGGCCACAGTCTTAGGGAAGCTGGAATTGCCACTGCTCAGCAGAGCATCTGAAATGCTCCCCAGGTAAGAAGCGGTGGTCCACATGAGGTCTGTAGTAGTTCTAGTAAATCAGTCACTGGACTTTGAAACAGCCTGACCTCTTTGAATTAATAAATTGCCTAATCTTGACTCTGAGCTGTCCCGAGGCAGCCTAAGTAGTTGAGTCTCATTAAAGCTGCCCAAGAAGGTAAGGCCATCTTGCAGGTGAAATGCTTCTGAGATCTGAAGGATGGAGAACAACCTTTGTTTTGCTGATGTGCCCCCATGGTGACTAGGAGAGCTGGTTAATCTCTACATAGAGTGCTTTTCTTTAAAGACAAAACCAAACAACTTTATCAATATTCTGCCACCAGCTCTTCACTCAGTGACACCTGATGTGACACTGCACCTTTCTCTCCACTGCATTTTCTCCTGCCCTAAATATGCTTCTTTGGAAGTCATCATCATGGATCCTTCACATTCAGGTGCAAGGGCTGCTGTGGTGTGGGTTCAAAGTGTTGCAGGTGTGCAGATGATGATAGAAAAGCATATCTAGATCTATAAATCTGGGCATGCTGGGAAGCTGATGAGTAATGTATGAGCAATGTAATGTATGAGCAATGCACACAGGAGCTTCCAAGGTCAGCTGATGAAATTCCACGTTTCACTAAACAGCTGGGCAAGTTTTAAGCTCCTGTATCTTTTCCTAATTATCTGTTTTCTGCTTGGAAGTTTGGAGTGAAACAGTGAAAACTGAAGGTTTTCATGTACCTATAAATATCTAACCACTACTTGGAAACTGTCTGGGTTGTGGAAGGTAATCCCTCCAAAGCCACCACTGAGTTTTCTACAGACTGCTTGAAACATATCGTCCCTACCTGCAGATCTGCCTCACGAGCCTTTCTAAAACCTTCTGAAAAGCGAATTGCCTTTCGAACGTATGTGTGGACGTATTTCCTTCCCTTAAGCTTTTCAACGTGTCCGGAGAGCTTCGGAAAGTCCAGTAGCAGGTGCAGCTCTGTGTGCAAATGGCATCACTCACAATCAATAGACCATTTGTAGTAATGAAGGGCATCCTGTGACTTGCCGGTTTTGCGCTGTCACACGCCAAAACCAATTACATCAAACACAGTGACAATCTGCAGACCTTGCAAGGAGTCTAATGTTTTATTTATGATGAGTGATCGTGAGCATCTGTGACTTTTTATGCTGTTCTGGCATTAAGCTGTTTTAATATATCGAATGCCACCTTTTCTTGGAGATGGATGTTGTACGAGAGATGAGTAATGGTAAATGTCATAGCCGTCATAAACAACATGGTTACAGTCCCATTTAATAACTTACCTGGGTCTTGAAAAAGGACGTGTAAGTTTGGCAAATGCAATCAAGAGATCAGAGTTGCACAGAGTGTGTGTTTTGTATTCATAGCTTTACTTAACTTGCAATGACTTTAAGCCGTGGTAGAAAATTGCCAGAAGACTAAACTTAATGAAGAGAAATCTGCACTGTGAGTAAAATAAGTGGATTAAGAGAAGAACAGCCTCCATTCAAGCTGTTCTTTGGTACTGTTATCGGTACGTGCATTCTCAGCACTGTAAAGCAGGTCTGCGTGTAAACTGAGATCCTACGGCCTCCTAACGCTAAGCTTTGAATTCAGTCTCTGCCCTTGCACAACTTGTTTGTCTTCTACACTGAAACAAACCAAACCCGAGTCATTGGATACTGATTTTCTCTATTCTGGAAGACATGTTTCCCCAGAATGAAGTAGTTACATAAAATATTTGAATATAACATTTCAGGAAAAGAGGTGTTCAAAGATGTGCAGTCCACCAGGGTGGAAATTTCACAGCACTTGACTTAGAGGTGGGATTCAAATCGGTAGGGATTTAGAAGTGGTGTCATCTTTGCTGTGTTTTTAATACAGTCATCTTTAATATCGTATATGTTCTCTGTTTTACGCTGAAAATTCGGGCATGGAGAGACATCTGTTTGCAAAATGGCTTCATGTTTCCGTGCTTTAACGGAGACGGTCTCTCCGTGGAGCTGTTCCACGGGGGAGGGGAGTCTGCTGGATAATGAAGGCCTGGTGAGCTCAGCTGGAGCTGCTGGTCGCACAGTGACTAAAGCTATTTGCTCCTCCACGGAGGCAGACAGGTGCAAATTGATGGGCTAAACCCAAGAGGGGCTGGCTGAGCATCTCGCAAGCCACTCGGAGATAAATGAGCTGCCGCCGCCGTCCCCAGGCTGGAGCAAGTCACCTGTCTGCAGTGGGGCTGAGAGCTCTGGGTCACCCTGCAGCCCCTGTGAGTTCCCTGGAGTCTTGGTAGACTGGCCCTGCAACCACCTTACTCCTCCTCCTGGGGACCCTGCAGAGGGTTGCGTTGCCAGAGGGCCTGCTGTGCCCCACAGCGGGGAGCTAACCGAGCGTGCCCAGCCCGAGCAAACCCACAGGGCTCACAGGAGTCACTCGCCCGCATTAGCCACAGGCCCAAGCGTGGGGTCTGGCCCCTCACTCCAGCTGGCAGTCCCCACGGAGAGCAGACACACAGCAGGAGGCAGCCTGAGGCAGCGGTGTGGGACCCGCTGCCACCCATGGGTGGCCATGGAAGGAAAAGAGTCGCGCGGCACAGAGGGGCTGCAAGCAGCAGAGCCCAAGCAAACCTTGTGCTGAACTGTTGAAGGTCCCAAAGCTGCAGCTGGGCAATTGCAGCCTCCTCCAGCAGCCTGGCCAAGGTCTGGCTCCCAGCAAAGAGCTGGGGACAGAAAGGTCTTAATTCTGTGGCTCGAGCACTCAGGTACGTCAGGGCAGGTCTGGAAGAACTCTTGGCTCGTGTCTCCACATGAGAAGGATAATGCTAATGAGGCTTGTTCAAAACACTAATGAGATGTTTAAAGTATTGCTTTAAAGTATTATATAACTGATAAATACTTCCTGTAAGGTTTGTGTAATCATTTCGATCTAATCAGAGCCTTAACCTTCTCATTTGGCTTATGTTATCTTGTACATCCTTTGAGAGACAGGAATATATACATAGGGATGTGTGTATGCACAATATCAAGACAAAAGCTTTACTCCAGTTCAAAAGAGCCACATCTGGGCAATGAATCTCAGCCAGACAAAATCAAAAAAGCACAACCAGAATCAAAACTGCCTTTGCCCTCCCCACAAGCTGACAGATCAGGATGTATTTCAACAAGAGTCTTTTTTTCTCACCCTCTCATCTATGAAGTCCAGTGATCTATTTTATCTGCTGCAAATAAAGGACTCTTGAAAAAATGTTCTCTCAAATTTATTTTCTCAACCCTAGGGGCATACAATTACTGCCGCTCACTCAGGCTTTTCATGTTTCCATACTGAGAGGATTCATGAGGGTTTGTCCGGGCTGCAGCGTTCCCATGAGAAGCTCGGGGTGACCAGAGCACCCCTCACATGGCCTCGGCTCAGCCCGAGCGGGACCCTTCGCAAGGCAGCCCTTGCTTAGGTGCTTCCAGGAGGCAGCCATGTCTTCATTAGCCGCTGTCTGTCTCATGTGCTTCCTCCCACGTGCTGCTCTGCGCTCGGGACATGGCGGGAAAAGCAGTCTGGAAGGGCACTGGGACAGGGACTGCTCTTGCCTCCAAGTGCATGGGGCAGCGCATGGTCAGCACGTGTCAGCTCCCAGCACTCCAAAATAAAGCACTTTGTAGCCCAAGCAGCACAGGGCAGGAATGTAGCTGACGCTGCGGTTCAGAAAGGCCCTTGAGTGCCCCTCGACCTGCGCATGTTGGCTCAAAGCAGTCGGCTGCTTCAGCAGGCCCAGGACGTGTCCAGGGACCCCTCTCCAGAGCTGCCCGCCCGTGGTAGCTGCACTTGCTTCCCCATGTCGCAGCAGAGGAAGGGAAGTGGCTGCTGACACGAGTTTGGCGGCACGGGGATGTCAGCCTGTTAACAGCCTCTCGCTGTTTCCATTTGCTCCGCACAGGATGAAAACACTGGAACTGAACGCATTTTAATGTAAGCGTGGGGCTCGAGAGAGTGACGCAAAGCCGCCCTTACACCTCCTCTCCAAGCGTCTCCTTTATTAGGCGTCCGAGCAGCACCCTTACGTTTGGTGATTCGGTGCCCCCTCGCACCGTACGCCAGTGGCCAGAGCCCTTCAAAGCCGGTCCCTTGCTGAAGCTGCGACCCTCAGGCAAGGCCCCATGGGCGACCTTACACCAGGGTGGCAATAGCGTGGGCGCCGGGGCGCCCCTCGGGGCTCCTGCGGCCCGCGGGGCGCTCCCCGAGGCCGCTCGGGGGGCGGTGGCGGCGGGCGCGGACGACTCGCAGGGCGCGCGCGCTCGCCACCAGGCTGGCGCAGTAGAGGCAGGCGGCAGCCACGCCGAAGAGGGCGACGGCGGCGTCGCCGCCCTGCACGGCGCAGCGCATGGACGTGTAGCCCCGGCGCGCGTACAGCCGCTCGCGCCGCTGGCACACCTCTGTGGCGTTCACCTGCGACACGAAGTGCAGGTAGAGGCCGACGGCCGCCGCGTAGCTGGCGCCTGCCAGCACGTTGAAGGCGCACTCGGCGGCGAGCAGCCGCACCGTGAGGCGCTCCACGGGCTTTGCCCCCGCGACGAGGAAGAGGAGCGTGAGGGAGCCCGCGGCTAAGCTGAAGGCCACGCCGCCGTACACGCACGGGGCTCTCATCTGCGTGAACTGCATGTCCAGCTCCCTGACCTCGCGCAGCTCAGTGCCCTCAAAGGGGCTGTAGGCCGAGTTCAGGTTGAAGGAGCCCAGGCCCCCGAAGGAGGTGAAGCCCGCGACGGAGGCTTGCGCGGCACCCACGCAGATCAGCACCAGCAGGTTAACGGTGATTTCCACGAACTTCAAGATGCCTGCAAGGAGAATGGGCATCCAAATCACATGCTGCACAAAGCAGGGGAAAGCAGGGCACCGAAGAGACAAAGAGCAAAACATGAACTGCTACCGAGATAGTGCTCTCAAGTAGAGCTGTAGCAGAGCCTTCCTTTAAAAAAGAGGCATGAGCTCTCCTGGGCACTTTTCAAAGGTTGGGCAAATTACTGTTTTTTTCATTTGTCAGTGTGCTTGATAAATGCATCTCCAAAGGGGAAAGGAATCCATAAAAATTTTACTGCGCTTGTGGCGTTGCCAAGGAAAGCGAACAGCGATTGTATTTTGGCCTGTAACTACTTGGCCTAAATACACCGAGCAAGAAATATCCAGTATGAGCAAAACACTGAGGTTAAGGCTGACAAAAACCTAGAAGCTTCTAATGGCTTGAAAAATTGTGCTAGTTATGTCCTTAAAAGTGTTCTTACTGCTTTAACTTATACATCTGTTTTCAAGCACATTTTATGTGCTTGTTAACTTAAACTACTTATCTATAGATACAACTCTCACTCCATCTCCTTCAGACAAAAATCTCAAGAAACAGTTACTTCCAGGAAAAAAGGACAAGGGGAGGAGGAAAACATGTTATATGTGGAGGTAAGTTAAGAGAATTTCCTACGACTTTATTCATTCTCTTACCCATGCCCATTTTGACAAGAAAAAGTCTTACAGCATCCGTGCCAACTCTTCTCTTACATGATGCTATGGGTAAGATAAGTGAGGTTTAAAAAAAAAGTCTGGATAAAGGACATCTTTCCTTGGTAGGCGTGTGTGAGGCAGGAGCAGCAGGGATTACAGACAAAACTGATCATTCTGTGAAAGCTCACTAGGGGTCGGACTAAGATTAGCAAACGTGACCGATGTGGACGCTCTGAGCAGCTGGAGCTGCCCAGTTGGGAAGCGAAATCCCCCAGTGCATCACGTGCCCTGAGCGAGTTACTGACTTGTGGGGCTGATCCCCGGCCGTCTGACCGAGGAGGGTGCCAGGCAGCAGGCAGCGGGCTCCATTCTTTGTCTCCAGGTGGGGCAGGAGCTGCGCCTTGCCCACACACCTCCATCTGCTGCTGCTCCGGCAGATCCGCACGGCCCTTCCCGGCGGGATAAGTGCTCTGCTGCCGCCTGCCTGCACGGGCTTGGGAACAGAGGGAAAAAGCAGCACACGGGGAAGAGAACACATTCCTCCCTGGTGCTGCCAGATGCTTCTGGCTGAGGAAAGCCTGAGAGAGCCACAGCGAAGGCTTCTTGGCTCCTCCTGCCCTCCCTGTGGGGCTGAGGCTGCATGGGCTCCCTATATATCAACACAGCTACTTGGTTGAAGCTGTTCAACAACCATGCTGTGGCTCGGCATCAAAGGAAGTATTTGTGAAGCTTCGTGAATGGAGAAGCTTAAACCTCGGTCTATGAGACCGGATTTGGGCCTTCTTGAATTAAACTCTGCAGTCAGGAGACTCAAGCGTCACTATATGGAGTCGCTGCATGGAGTCCTCAATCCAGGCTGTTCAAAGCATTCTGGAAGTGCAATGCAGGAGCCGGACTGCAACTGGAGGGGCTATCATCTACACCATCTATACTACATCTATACTACAGTGGCTACCCCATCTGCGCTGTACAACCTGCCTTCTGAACGCAGGAACCGCCCTTTGGACCTCAGGGCCCTTGGGCAGTGCTGCCCTCTTTAAGGGTTACACTAACTTCATAGATGCTCCCTCAGAGAACGGTTCTGGGGCCTCCTTACAGGGAGGAAAGACTGTTTAATGAAAACCTCTTAAACCTATTAAGGGTTTTAATCTGTTTAGGGACTTGAAAGATGGGAATTCAGGCAGCTTTCCCCTCCTCTCTCCTCAGAGCTTCCTTGTGCTCTGCGGCTTTTTAGTGAGATGCTCTGCCCCACGAGTGTCCGCTGTTGCTCTACCTCACCTTGCTGAGCTCCAGAAAAGGCCATTTTCTGTTCGTCAGAGCGGCTGGCACCTGCTGCTCACCTCCCTCTGTTTGCAACAACATGAAAATAACTGGCCCCACTCCTCAGTGACTCTGCTCCAAAACTTCTGGGTATTCACACAAAATGTGTTTGCAGGCTCTAGATTTCACTGAGTTGACTAACTGCTGGTAATGAGACAGCAGGTCTGTCAGGTGTCTTTTTTTTGATAGGATGCGAGAAGGGATTGGTGTGGGTCTACTAGCATATTTTTTAACTGCACGTATATAACAACTTTACAGCATGCTTTAAAAACACCCTTGAGGCAGGGAATTTGGGTTGGAGAGGTTGTGTAGATACCTGAGCATTTCTGCAGAAGCCAGCTCCACATTGGTTAGGGTGACTAACAATGGACAACAATAGAGGGCTTCATTAGCAAATTCCCTACCATGATTTGCAACATGTACAATGACTTACAAAGAATGTGCAAAAACTTAAGGCTCTCGTACTAAAGAAATCCCCAAATGCCCAACACTGTGTCAGCCAAGGCGGGTGGCTGTGCATGACAAGCCTACCACGAGAGCCAGCAGGGTCTGTGACAGCAGCAGGCAATTAATGGCAATATGTATCTCGAAGGCCTTGTGCAAGCATTAGGCTTTTGACTGAAACATGAATCCCCTTGGCATGTTCAAATCTCGACCTGGGCAGCCCCAAAGCCTTGCCTGATCTTGGCCTGTGTTAGTTAAAAGCTGACCTACGTCTCCTGTACTAGCACAGACATTAGGCTAGACAGGATTAAGTAAAGAATAAAAGGCCACTAACCAAATCTTGAATCTCACCTCTGCCAGGGCTTGCTAACTGATCTGCTCCAGCAGAGATCTGTGTAAGGAAGTGGGCTGCGTTCAGATACGTGCTTCTGTGCCTGCACTGCTGTTCCTTCTTCACAGGCTGGTTTGCTGCTACATCTTAAGAGCTACAGCTGCAAAACCTACTCTGCCAAAAGCTTCCTCCCAAGCAGAAGTTTTTTAATCATGTTTACAACTATTCCCTAATCCCATGCAGCAATGGCTGTGTTGCAAGACTTGAGTATAAAATGACAGGAGGTCTGTAAATCTCAGAACTTCTTAAGCAGATTGTGTGCACCCCTCCAGTCTTTCCATGTTCAAAAGCCGATGATTCATCTAAAATCATAATGTTTTGTATTAAAATTAATGTAGTGAATGGGGAACAAACCCTCTCCATCCTAGCAAGTGCTGATACTTAAGATTGCCTGCCTGCATTCCCTGTTCTTTTCCCATGCTTCTCTTCTGCACAGGTTTTCAGTACGGAAGGTGGTAAAAGCTGATGCAAACAGGAAGGTAGGGGGTGTTGCCAGAGTTGCCTCATTCATTCTATAAAATCCAAATTTCCACATACTTAGATGTGTCACACATGTTAACTTAATTGGAATCCAAACCTTCTTGCTGCAAGTTTACAGGCTGCTGAACCAAACCCTCAACTGAATGCAGCCTTCCTATTTAAACCATTTATTATTTAGCATCTTTCTTTTCTTTCTGCTGGAGGGTGCATGCTTTGCTATTGCCATGGCACTAATCCATGGTTGGATCTTCTGTCAAAGGGTGGGCTCAAACATGCAGCAGAGCAACCTGTGAGGCTGCAAGGATAGGGCTCCACAAGCAGCTGAGCTTCATCTGAGGGCTCCTACTCTTGGCTGTGCAGTCAGCACTTTCTTCCTGTGACCAGTAATCAATCACTCTGGCCTGACATTAGACCCTTCCATGAGACAATATTAAATAAAAGAACATGAATGTATTCAACTTGCTCTCTCTGTGTACTGTTTTTTTTCCTGCAACTTCAGCAAGTTGAAAAGTGAGTCACAGAAGGATCTGATGAGCAACACTGCTGGCCTGAGATTAGCAGAGGAGATCACACGGCCAGGACCAGCGATGGACCAGAACCTCCCCTCATCAGGAAAGGCAAGCTGCTAAATCTGCACATCCTGCCCTGTAAAACCACGCTGGGGCTGACTGTGTGCAAACCCCTATGGCAGCTGTGTGCTCATGTCCTGTCTGTTGGAGGCTCTGATGAGGCATCTTCGTCCAGGCACTGCAGCAGGATGTCCCAGATGTTCAGGCAGCGGGATCTGAGTGGGGGTACGTGCAGCAAGTGAAATAGGCAGCTCATGGTCGCTCCTGTTTCTGCAGCTGGCAAGAAAGCCTGTGCCTGCAGCATAGACGGGCCCTTCAGCGTGTCCTCCTCCCCTGTGCCTTGGCCTTGCCTCAGGAACTGAGGCTACAGGCTGATGATAGTTCACCCAGACTTTCTCACTAAAAGATTTTTTCCCCAGTTTGGGTAGCTTTCCAGTTTTTATTTTTTTTTCTTCCAAACGAACAGAGAAGTAGTTTAACCCTCTATATAGGTCTCCCTGGTGGTCTAGTGGTCAGGATTCGGCGCTCTCACCGCCGCGGCCCGGGTTCGATTCCCGGTCAGGGAATGTCAATTTTCCAGCCCTTTAGGAGACCTGCATGATGAGCAGGGAGCTCCTGGCAAAACTGCAACAGAAGAAAGCAGTATACAGAATGTGGAAGAAAGGACAGCCTCCTTGGGAGAAATACAGGAACCTTCTCAGGGAATGCAGGGATGCTACAAGGTAAGCTAAGGCACATGTGGAATTGAATCTGGCAAGGGATGTCAAGAGTAACAAGAAAAACTTCTTCAAATATATTGAGAACAAAAGGAAGGTCAGTAGCTGAGCTGCTCGCCATCATCTTAGGAAGGTCCTGGAAAACAGGGGAGGTTGGTTTTCTGGAAGAAAGGCAATGTCACTCAGGTCTTCAAAAAGGGCAAGAAGGAGGACCCGAGTAACTACAGGCCGGTGAGCCTCACCTCCATCCCCGGGAAAGTGATGGAACAGGTGTCTCCAGACACATGGAAGAGAAGAAGGTGCTCAGGAGCAGCCAGCATGGATTCACCAAGGGGAAATCATGCTTGACTAACCTGATCGCCTCCTATGAAGGAGGGACTAGCTGGATAGATGAGGGCAGAGCAGTGGATGTCATCTATCTGGAC